ATAAAATACCTGTACTTTATATTTCTGCTCCCTACATGGAGTACCTTACAAATTGTACAAATTGTATTAAAGGTTAACTTCTTCATGTATTCTGGTACGGCTCAGCAATAGTGAAATGACATATCATAAAGCAATTCAAAATCTACTGGTTCACAGCTATCAAATAAAGGTTTGACAGCTGCCAAGCAGCCATTTTGTCATCATTGTATCATTGACAGACTCACTGGCTATCTAGCACCAAAAATATATAACTTAATGAACCTGATGCCAATATTCAACGTCATCCCCCTTTTCCATCTGTGCTTCCATCCACTGAAGATTGGTGACGATGTAATTCCTCAGGTGCTCACAGTAGCTACTGTCAGAAGTTAATGAACCACAGTACCCTTCGATGGTATTCATCCAGTGCTTGTAGAGAAGCTTCAAGTAGATGCCAGGAAAAAAAAGAAGTGAAACAATAAGGATCTATATTTAAGGCTTATTTTTCCCCAGAAATCACTTAAACATCTACCATTTATTAAGACCAAATCATTTCTACCTCTATATATGCATATTTTTTCATAAAAGCATAAAATGATTTTACAGATGTCAGTTTTATAAAATGTATTCACATAAATACCAGACAAATCTGCATTCTGCTGTAATTCTCCTCTTTTTAAGGTCTTTGCCACAAACCTGAGAAGTTACAGAAGCCTCTACGACCCCAGCTGCATACGCCTGCAGGCTGTCATTGTATCGGGGGTTAGTGGTCACTTCCAAATAAGCCCATCTGGTGGAAACGAAAATGCTGAAATTGACGTACTAATAAAATACGAATATAGCAGAATTCGTGTGCATATAAAATATATTACATCAAAAGCAGAAGTCCTCAAACTATGTAGTGACAACCAGGTTCGTAGCCAAAAATACATTTCCTAAGGGGCAGTCAACTCTCCTGCATGGACTTTTCAGACCGGAGGGGCTGATGCTGATTTTATTTAACTTCTGATGCTGAGTTCAAACAGTTTTACTAAATGGGTACGTGTCTGATCAGTGATCAGTAACAAAAAAAGTATTCGAAGGGAGTTCAAATTAACTTTGGCGTTACAAACCGAATACATATACATTAATAAACACAACATGACAAAGCATGTGTTGCATCATAAAATAGATTTAGTGCACAATTTCTCAAAGATGTTGCTTATATAAAAAATGCTAGTGCATCACACACAAAACGGTTACTGAATTTATAAACATAACAGCAGAAGTAAGAATTTACCCTGTATTCTTAATGTCGTCGGTGAAATTTGCCCGTGCTATATAGTCGAGTTGTGGCCCATTCTTGAGAGATAATTTACCCGAATCTAAAACTGCTGAATGAACGGTACCTAGGGTCGTACACAGGCAATACGACATAAAGAAATAAAAAGATACAACAAGCGATCCAGACATTATCACACTGCTGCGCCGCGAAACTCTAACATATTTTGAGCACTTCATACAGTCATACAAGTAACCTTGTCACAACCCTATATTTGACCATAACTTAACGTCACATTAAGTAACGTGATCTGTAACGTGATCGAAAAAAAAAACTATTAGAATTATGGGTAATGTAGTTGTATCTTGGTTGTAGCAGGCGTCTTTAGCATTGGTGTAATATACTGTCCAGCCGCTTGATGGAAGCATTGCGCTATCTATAGTATTCAGGGGCGCGTTTCCCGAAAGCTTCGTGACAGTCAGCAGTGCGCCATCTCGTTCTTAGCATCGACTGTTAATTATGGAGTGTTTCTCGAATCCCTTCGTAATTATAGCAGTGGGTAATTTGCGACTGTTCCGACCCTCTCGTTATTTGCTATGTCGTTCTTTATTTGAATTTTTCTGTCATTCTGTCACAGAGACACAGAGTTCGCCCATAACTTATCGCACAAACACACAGACGCTCGTTTTTTGACAACGCAATAATAATAATAATAATAATAATAATAATAATAATAACAACAACACAGGTCTACAATTTTTTTCAGCATTTTTTTTAATGGATTTAGGGTATTTTGAGGGTGCTGAATTAAAAAATCCCATTACTTTTGCTGAATTGGTACTAGTTTTTGAGATAATGAACATCCATGAAATAATGCATTCCCTCAATGCGACTTGTTTGTGATAACAAATGCAATAGCTTTTGGTCTGTCTTTTGACTCTTTAACAATGTCTTAGGTAATGAAATCAATGATGAAGCGTTGAGGGAGAGTCTGGAAATAAAATTAGAGTTAAGTTCACTTGTGCGTGTTTGCATGTTCATTTATTGCTGTTGTTACTGTGTTGGTGAATATTTACCCAGATCTGCCAAGTCCTTTCAAAGGAAGGGCATCATGGGAACACCTGTTTGGTATTTAGCCAGAAATGGTTGAAATGCTCGTGATAGGGCCATGAAAAAATGTAGTTTGGCCAGAAGAAGGGGATCCATTCGGGCTTCACAAATCTGGTCAAAAGAAGATGTCCCTGGGTTTTTCACCTTTTTTGACTTCACCAGGTCCACATATTTCACAATAGAGGGCCAGACTTCCAATGCTCGTTCGACAGCTGGCAAATTTTCGAGCCACCGATGGCCACAGAAAGGTAGAGGGAATCTTGAGGATGATGTTGCAGCTGTGAACTCCTCTCTTCTGGCTGGTGCAGAGTGGAAAAGAAAATGTAGTGCTTTTAGAATTTTACTCCACCATCCACACTTCAAAACCATTCTTAAATGAGTTGTGAAGGGTATGTAGAATCACTTGGACTATATGGCTTAATGACCTACAAGTCAAATTCAATTCATATAATTTGTCAAAATCAGGATGCAGAATTGCACTTTTAATTTGAATATAAGAAAGTAGAATTAAAATGAAATAGAATTCACATAAATGCACAATCATAGTGTAGGTGCAACTGTAACAATTCAGTATAATCTTCCAATATGAATTATACATACACATGTTAACATGCACAGTGAGTTAACATACACAGCATACACTGAATCACAGCCTCCTCCCTGCCCCCCCACTGCGATCCCGAAGACTAACAGAGGGCCTACAGCAAAAAGTCCAGTTGCCATGCCTCCCTGTTTGAGTACTTGCCAGAAAGTTGATGCACATTACTGTTATTCAGAATGAAAGAATGCTATATTTGAAGTGTCACCTAATTTAACTGTCATTTTGTGTACCATGGTGGAAGAGCACTTCATACAGTCATACAAGTAACCTTGTCACAACCCTATCCATCTGACAACCCATGAACAGACTCCTCACAAATGCTAGCACACAAAACAATTAAATATGCAGAAAAAATAAACATTTGCCCATGGAAAAGGACTTGGAGGACTGACATATACCAAGTCACCTCCTGATAAATGTCAGTAAGACAAAGGAGATGGTAATTGACTTCTGCCACAAGGTGACTCCATCTGTACCAGTGAACATTCTGTGAGTGCAAGTAGAGGTTGTGTCTGTGTACAAATATCTCGGTGTTCACATAAACAACAAATTGGACTGGTCACATAACACAGATGCCCTGTACAAGAAGGGGCAAAGCCGTCTCCACATGCTGAGAAGGCTGAGGTTCTTTGTTGTGTGCAGGACACTACTAAGGACCTTTTATGACACTATGGTAGCATCTGCTATATTCTTCGTGGTGGTCTGCTGCTTCCATCTGCCCCTTAGGAAATGCTCAGACAGGGACAGGAAAAGACTGAACAAACTGGTCAGGAGTGCTGGCTCTGTCCTGGGCTACTCTTTGGACTGAGGAGGTGGCTGAGAGTAGGACGCTGGCCAAATTTACATCCATTATGGTCAGTCCCTCTCACCCCCTGCATGACACAGTGAGGACATTGCGAAGCTCCTTTAGCAACAAACTACTGCATCCAACATGCAAGAAGGAATGCTTCCGCAGGTCCTTCATTCCATCTGCCATCAGACTTTATAACACCTCAGTCACCTAAAGTTCATAAATTATGTAACTATTCTGTATATTGTGCAATATCCGCTACATAGGCATGCAAATATATTTACATCACTTGGTGCAATCTGTATGTATGTGTATATGTATGTATGTGTATTTTGGGTCTGTGCAATATGTGTAATTGTGTACACTAATTTTATTATTTATTGTATTTGTTACAGTATTTTTTTTGGTCTGTTTCTTTTCTATTGCTTTTTATGTACTGGCTGTTGCAACAAGTAAATTTCCGCAGTGTGGGATCAATAAAATCTTATCTAATCTGAAAGTCTTATCTAAATCCATATTGTTAGAACAGACAATAAACAATTACAGTTTTCATCGTACAGTCATGGAAATATAAAGTTACTCACTAGTACATCAATATATACATGTCATCTAGAAAGTAAATCTATTATATAATTATTTATGTTTTGCTAGATTGAACTATATTCTTGTATTGTGTGATTTCATTGAATTCTTTTGAAATGAGATGAAGAGAATTATTCTTTCTGTTATTCCAAGTAGAAATCTTGTGGGTGTTGACCATTTAATTCATAGTATAATTCATAAATGGAATGGGGCGCAATTCATAAACTCTGAACAACCCTGGTACTAAATGAGCTATCCAATAAAATGTCCTATGTATTCAGTTTTATCCTTTAAAGTGGTATGGATGAATCACCCCTTACTACCAGAAATGACAATGCCAGCTATCCCGAGAATTGTGCAACTTAACCAGAGATATCATTGAGACAGCACCATCCAAGAAGCCAAGCTGCTGGTCTAAATGTTGTTTTGTGATGATATATGAACCCCATGATAATATCAGTAATTAATAGAAAAATACAGGTTGGCCTGGGGTAAAATAATCAGCCTCCTTGGTCGGATGCAGGATAAATTGAAAAGTGGAACACACTGGAATTTTGCCCTCAGTCCCACTGTGCAGCTTTTGACAATTCTCTGCTTCTATGCCACCAATGAATTCCTGCAAACCATTGGTTATGCACATGGTCTTAGCAAGGCTGCTGTGTGTAAATCTGTGCATTCACTGATCACACTTAATGCACCATGTGCACAACTACACAGTTTCCTGCAGGAGGGGATGCCTTGTATGACACAAAAATTGATTTTCATGCCATTGCGGACATACATGGCATTTTAGGTGCAGTTGATGGAACGCTTTGAATCCCTCATGCACCTGTCAAAAAGGGTTCTTGGCACTAGGTCTAAATGTCAAGGTACTATGTGACCATCAAGGACATTTTACAGAGATTGTCCAAGTAGTCTAAGTATACATGACGCCCGGTCCTGGGTTGTTCTCTGCCTTGCGCCCATAGCCTCCGGGATTGGCTCTGAACCCCCTGTGACCTCAAGTTGGACAAGCGGTTTCAGAAAATGGATGGATGGATGGTTATTGAGAGAGATCAGGTATCCTTTTTCTGAATACCTGCTGACTCCAGTGTTGAATCCACAAACTGTGACTGAGAAGAGGTATAAGACCACACAGTGGAGCGTGCTCTGCGCACTGTTGTGGAGCGTGCTCTGCGCACTGTTGTGGAGCGTGCTCTGCGCACTGTTGTGGAGCGTGCTCTGCGCACTGTTGTGGAGCGTGCTCTGCGCANTGTTGTGGAGCGTGCTCTGCGCACTGTTGTGGAGCGTGCTCTGCGCACTGTTGTGGAGCGTGCTCTGCGCACTGTTGTGGAGCGTGCTCTGCGCATGTGGAAGTCCTCGGGAGCTTTAACATTTTCCCCTGAATGCTGCTGTGCTGCTCTTGTTGTGTGTACTATGGTGCACAGCACTGCAGTAATTTTTTAATTTAAATTTATTTTCGGCCACCTGCGCAGCAGGTTGTTTTAAATCAGCTCTCCAGTAGTTCTGCCGCTTTTTCCTACTGCTGCTCGCCATTGTTCTTTTTTACAAGGAAGGAACATCAAATTTTGAGCCCATTTATATATTTTTTGATACGTAAATTAATTTATTTTGGTCTTAATTTTGTGTGCTTTCACATGTTTTCATAATTTTTTTCATTGTGTGCTTTTGCATGTTTTCATTGATTTTTTTTACATTTGCAAATGTCTGATGCGGCAATAATAGGCCTATAGCATATATTTAACTATTGAAATACATGGGATTAGTGTTCTTATTATTAACAGTTTGTGCTTTTCTCACATGGAAGCTGGGGTGGGGTAGGCAACTAAAAACCACATTCAATTCATTTGTTAAATCTGGAATAACGAAAGCTTCTTCATTATTTGCTAAGATTGATCATTATCGGGAATGATCAATCTTAAGTGGGCACGTAGTCATGTAAATAATGAGTTTCATGATGTAGCCATGAAATAATGGGTTTGAACCCCCCCCCCCCCCAAAAATGCTTTTGTTATTGATTAGGCACATAGTCAGGTAGTAAAATTAAGCATCTGAACCCCTTGCAAGTTGCTGTAGCCCCCTGGTCAGTGAAATCCCGGGTTGGCAAAGTCCTCCCAAGAAATTTATGTCTGACTATGGGCCTATCAGTAGATACCACTACATTTATGTACTTCTGGGATGGAGGATGGAATAGCAGTTCTGCATGTGAGATTCATC